AGATGGCCGCCGTATTTCCTGCGCCGGAGCGGTCCATGAGGCGTCTATGCTTATATTATGTCTATGGAAGCCACCTCCCCCGACGTAGACGTCAAACCGGAAGTGATGAGTGACTTGATTGTTGTTTATTTTTATGTGGTGGGATTGGAATACAAAAATTATGGTATGCTAATTATAATAATTACTATTATAACAAAGATAATTATATTGTATATTAAAAATATGTTATTTCTGCACAAGTATGAATTTCTTTTGTAGATTTTTTGTGCCCATTTCCATCAAGCGCTTAGAGGACTATATTGCTCAATATTGCACAGGCCAGAAAACAATAAAAATTTATATATTTCAGCAGCTCATGAAAGATATCTTGCCCTGCAAGCTTTAAAACAAATTTAAGGCTGTTTTGGAGGAAACATTTTCATAACCAGCCATACATCCACTTTGCAAGACTGGAGGGGAATCCAAGATGTTACGCTTCCCTGCAACACTTTCCAACTCATTCTGGGGGATTCCCAAGCATACAGGCCACACAATGTTAGATATACGTTAGCCATGAACGTCTCGTTGTTTTCTGTAAAAGTCTCACCTGCAAAATGTTTTCCTTTAATGTGATTTTTAAGTCTTGAAGCAAAATGAAGAACGATTTCACTAACAGTGAGTCTAAATCTTCCCTAATTTAGCATAGAGTATCAAATATAGATCATTAATGGTGCCAAACATAGATGTAACATCAATTTGAAATTCACCCAAAACATTATGCAATGTAGAAAACCCTTTAATGTACCAAGCATTACATAAAAAAGTAAAAAAAAAAAGGAAACAAGGTGCAAACTAAAAGGGCAGAAAAAGAAAACAAATATTTACAGAAGTTAAACCACTAAAAGAACAGTGCAGTGAACACAGAACAATCTGCTGGTATTAATTGTTTTATAAAAACATGAATAACTGCTAGAAGAAGAACTAAAGCTTATAGGTGGGTTTGGTCTGTAGTTTACATGGGCTTCAGAAAAGCCAACATAGAACTTAAAGAGCCTTCCAGTCTATGGGAGACTTTCCGCATTTCTCTAGCAACTCGTTGGCCTTGGAGAAATGTCTGCAACCAAAAAATCCTCGATGAGCAGACAGTGGGGAAGGATGTACGGTCTGCAGGACGTGGTGGCGTTTCTATAACAGAAAGGAGGACATCCTCGTCATAAGTAATCGGCACAAGCAAGCTTTGCTGAGTGTTAAAATGTACGAGTTAGCAGACTCACTCGGTTAATTGAAGCCCCTTTTTTCTGTGCGTACGATCCCCACAGCATGAAGACGACGCCCTCTTGATTGCTGCTGAGCCACTGAATCACAGCGTCAGTGAAGGTCTCCCAGCCTCTGTCTTTATGGGAGTTGGCGTGGTGCGCCCTGACAGTCAGCACGGCGTTGAGCAGCAGCACACCTGGTGAGAAGTTAAAAACATAAAGACAGGAAAGTTGTGGATGAAAGAAAAAATTTTTTTTTTTTGCTTAATCATTTAACAGAATGTAAATCAATAGAAGTCCCTTGTCTGGCCCATCCAGTCAGGTCGCCGTGGCCTGGGTGCTGGAAGCCGTCGATGTCTGTGGCCAGCTCTTTGTACATGTTCTCCAAACTGAAAATAGAAAGCAAAACGTTAAAAATGGAAGGCAAAAAACTTTGGTTCGAGTGTTCGTACAACTGCAAGGCCGTACTCTAAAGTTAGATGAGTTTGCAGATTTTTCAAAGGATAATAGTAGCTTCAGCCAACTAAATAACATTGAGAGCACTTCACTTAGTTTGAACCTGAATTTGATGCGGGTTAGGGTATTTTTTCTAAATATTTGAATGAGAGTGTTTAATTCAAAAACTAAAATACTGATGGGTAGAATATCAAAATATGGGTGTGACTGTATGGCATTTAATGAGAATCATTAGATTTTTCTCCATTTCAAAAGGAATAAAGTCTAAATGCAGAACATTTTTACCATATTTATGTAGATCTGGAAAAAAGCCGAAATAAATTCCTCACCTTTCAAGAAACATTTCAGCCCCATACATCTCTTATTCAAGTTGTGGCAACAAAATAATCCAATACTAAACTTTGTCATTATTACTCTCAATTAATAGTCTGCTGTTTTCATGAATAAAGAGGTGGAGTGATGAAAATCTTGTCATTTTTCTTGGTTTTTGTGGTATGAAAGATGCATTGAAAATTGTACCAAACGCCTCTTTTCAGGTAAACATCATAATTCCTGTTTGAGGTCATTATTGTTTTATTTTTTTATTTTTGTTGACACAAAGTCTTCCCTTAAATCTTGAAATACCCGTGTGGAAAGACAGTCAGGACACTTAAAATGTGAACACTGCATAATCAGTTTCTGTTCATTATAAACAAAACAAAAACAAAAACACAGCCTTCAAACCTCGGAGGAGGAGGAACTGGTCTTTTCACACTGAAGCACAGTCCGTGCGCTTGGCCTGGACCATGATATGGATCTTGACCTAGAATGACCACTTTAACCTAAAATCGAAGACAAAGACTTTACTACATTTAACAACTCTCTCCAGGAAAAACATGTTTGGTTTTTATAGGCTTTTGCCATTTTTTTTTTTTCAAAAAAAGAAAAAGAAAAAAGGAAAATTTATAGTTAGCAGCATGTTGCCTTGTAAGCAGGAAGGTCTTGGGTTTGAAACCTGGCCTGGGGTATTTCTGCATGGAGTTTGCATATGTGGTTCCCTCAGGTACTCTAGCTAAAAAGCTAAAAAAAGTCTGATTAGTGTGTAGTTAATTAATGTACTTTAGAAAAAAATCGTCAGAGCTATGGACCTAATAAACACGTGCTTTGAGTTGGCTTTTGAAAGAAATGGCCTCAATAAAACCATCAGGTGTTGAAATTTATATACAAAAATAACTGCAAGTACTTCTACCCTAATACCTACATGGATATTATAGTTATGCACTTCAATCACTCAGTTTCTCCGGGCATAAAGTTGCGTACTCATGAGCCACACTTACATCTGTGATGTGGCACACCTCGCTCCAGGTGAACACTTGTTCAGCAGGTGGGTAAACTGTGTGGCGTTTCCTCTCTTCGGAAACAAATTGCATCAACTGTGGCAAAAGTGTAAAAAAAATAAATAAATAATTGAAACACCTGATAGTAAACAGTGTGTGTGGAAAATCTCCTCTTCTCACCTGTTTGAAGTAGGGCTTTCTGAACTCAGCAGCCAGCTCCTTCCTCCAGCTCTCCCCGAACCCTGGAGGAGTCTGAGCGGAAGCCAGCCTCTCCAGCGCCGCTCTCTTGTTGCGAGCCATCCTTTCCAGCTGCTCCGGGGACAGAGGACTAGGAGGCGGGCTTTGCTGCTCCGCCAGCACCGAAGCGCATTTCTGCTTCTTCTGCAGGATTTTGGTATATTGAGCAAAACACAAAGCCGGTGAGAGAAGCGTTCCCCGGAGAGAAATCTGCTTTAAAATCAGATGACGAAGCGGTGCTAACAGTTTCATGCTAGTAAAACTCGTTTGGCAACGTTCAACAACAGAAGGTGATCCTGAACGCAGCTTGGAGTAAGCTTGTCGCGGGAGAACTCGACGATATGAAATACTACAAAATAACACTGACTATTTTGTAAGTCTTTTTGAATTAAAATGTCCCTCGGCTTAGGTTCGCAAGCTGTTTCTAATGATGATTTGCCATCTGTTTGTAAAAGTAGCGATACTCACCGGCTCTTGTGCATTCTCCTCCGGTTCGTTTACCTCATTAGAAGCTCTCTTTTTCGATACCGGCGAAAAAAATGAATTGATGGTTTTCTGTCCAATCATTCTTGTTGCAAACACTTTGGCGGTGAGCTGCGGAAAGAAATATAAGGCTTGATTGTAAAGACCACGAGACCCTCAGGTAAACTAACGTTGTCAGTTCGATAAATTAAAAGAATTCGCGCCTAAACAAAGTGACGAAAGCACCTATTATAATGAGCTGAGTGGTGTTCAAGATGTACCAGAGTTTTCTGTTCTTACACAACTTTACATTTTAAAAAAAATTGGTTACAAGTGCGTTTTTATTCATCATGATAATTAGTTGTTACACTGAAGTAGTTTAAACATTTATTCAAATTAATTGTGACTCATCATGGGTAATTAAAAAAACACAACGGATTCTCAGAAAATAATATTACACAAGACCAACAAACATTTGTCGACAGACAATGGGACTCAACGAGAGTTAAGTCACAGAAGGTCATTGTTTTAGCTGGTTGTTCACCTCAATGTTTATCCAAGTTTTTATTAGCAGAAAGCCATGAATTTACTGAAATAGAGTGTGTGAAATTAATTTAATACCCTTCATACAGGATAGTTTGATAGAGTTTGTCACATTCCTTGGTCTACATTTTAATATTTTCTAGCAAAAATAAATAAACTGGCTGACCTTATGTAAAATGTAAAAAGTAGAAATTAGGGATTACTTAAAATGTGAAGCTTTTCTACTCAACATCAACATACATATAATATGCATTTTCAGTGAAATAAACCTTGTAGTTGTAATTTGTTTTATTCCCCTTGGTTTACACAGGAAAAACGTTCCCCATCAGTGTGTCGCCACATCAGGCTACAGAAACGGACAAGTTTCTGCTTGGGGGACAGAATAAACGTCTGTGCAGCAATGATGTCCCACGAAGAAGCCCCAGGAAAAAGATGATAAAGATGGAGGAACATGAGTGCGAAGAGGAGGAGGAAAAGGACCCGTCTTTTGAAGAGTTTTCTCATCCTATTCCTTGGCAAAAAATAGAAGCAGAGGGACTGGACTGTGATTATGCATTGCTCTTCTTGAAAGAAGAGGCAGATAACCTGTTCAGACAGCTGGAGGAGGAGGTGGTGTACTCAACAGGTACTTATTTTTTGCAAAGATGCGGCTTGAATTTGCAGTTTCATAGTGTGACAGCTGGTTGTTTTGTTTTTTTCTTACAGGAGAGGAATCAAAGGTCCAAGTGTTTGGAAAGGTGTACAACATACCGAGGAAACAGGCGACCTATGGGAACGCAGGCCTCACCTACACTTACTCCGGAGTGAGGCATCTGGCTTCCCCCTGGACTCCGACCTTGGAGTGCATCCGAAACGCGGTCACAGACGCGACCGGACGGCAGTTCAACTTCGTCTTGATCAACAGGTGACAAACTTCCCAACGCCTACTCCAGAAGTTCAGAGTTGGACAAACCTGAGCCTCGGTTATCTCCACCAGGTACAAAGATGGACAAGATCACATGGGGGAGCATCGGGACGACGAGAAGGAGCTGGACCCTTCCTGTCCCATCGCTTCCGTCTCTCTGGGAGCAGCTCGAGACTTCGTCTTTAGACACAGAGACGCTCGAGGGAAACGGAGCAACCGACGGATCGATCCCGTGAAGCTGGAGCTGGCTCATGGAAGCCTGCTGCTCATGAACCCTCCCACCAATACCTTCTGGTACCACAGCCTTCCGGTTCGGAAGAAGGTCCTCTCGCCTCGCATTAATCTCACCTTTAGACGCATCTTGGAGGACATCGCTGAACAGTCAAAGAGGAGCATTAACATCAAAAACCCGGATTAAAGTTTGCATTTTTAACAAATACTGCTATGGTAAATAAAGATTTTAATATAGTGTCCAAACATTTCCACTAAATCTGTTTAACTTACTTTAGATGTTGCCTGTTACCCATAAAGAAACGGGTCATGTTTTCTTTCATTTCAATTTGTTTTAAATCAAGAAGAAATCTTCCACATGCCTATGATTATGGTGGCATCACAAAAGGCAGATTTTTCTTTTCCCTTTTTTATGTCAAGCAAATACGTGAATAATGGGTGTTAACTAATCTCAGCTGATTATGTCTGCCTTGTGATATCAGACAGAATTTACAGAAAACTAACTTTTTTTTTCTGTGCACTCTAGAAATTAACTGGGGAAATCTGTGCTTTTCTGCCCAGCTGTGGTTTTAGTGTCATGATATACTGCTCAAAAAAATAAAGGGAACATTTCACTTTAATTTTGTGTGTGGCTCCAAATCCAGGCCTCCATTGGTTAATAAATCTGATTTCCATTGATGATTTTTGTGTGATTTTGTTGTCAGCACATTCAACTTTGTACAGAACAAAGTATTCAATGAGAATATTTCATTCATTCAGATCTAGGATGTGTTATTTGACTTTTCCCTTTATTTTTTTGAGCAGTATACATTTGTCAGTGGAGAAAATGCATGTATACACAACTTAAAGTAAATTTTGTCACATAATTAGTTCCCGTCTTAAAAATATCTCTAATTTAAAAATGTAATTTCCTAAATCTGTTTTAGAAAGTCCTGTTTTTTATCATCTGAATCTTCCAGGACATGGCAGAATGTGCATTTCGGTCAAAGACAATTTAACATAGTTTAAAAATAAAAAAAACCTCATTGATGTTGGTGCATTTGCAACAGTCTCACTTACATGAAACACAAGAGTAAAACTTTATTATTTTTCTTTTAAATTTGAAAACAATCACTTTCAAAGACATGAAAATACATCAGTGCAAACATCCGGACAGACGCTGCTGCATTTAGATTTTCTCGGTTTGGTAGGAAACTTGCAGTTATTTACTGCCGAGGACTTAAAAACATTCAGGATAAATTGCCCAGAAGCATCTGCACATAATCAAGTCTCGATAACGAAGCCGACTAAAAATCTGCAGAACCTGGACACCATGAGCAGCGGCTTGGATGCAACGTAATTTTAGGTAAGATAGGACAGCCCTAAGAGTTGCTGCATAAGTGGTTTCATATGATCGAAATGCTGAACACTGACAACAACATGGCACTTTATCTTCCACCGTGCAGGTTTACAAATCACAGCATAAACAAGATTTAAAATGGCAGAGTAGTAGCTGAAATTACCAGTGTAAGAGTTTACAGCTGCTGTTGGGAATGATGGGAATGTAAATTAAACAAGGCTGCAGCTGGGACTATTTCACTGATAGGTTTTTTTAATGTGTAACAGCTTTATTTCACTTTATTATTAAGTGTCTGCGATTTACAGGAATTTTGACAAATTAACAGGAATATCTAACAGCATTTTTCATTTATATTTACACCACTGCATGATTACAAAGTCAAAAATATTCTGAAAAACTCCTCATTTGGAGTGTAATCACAGGGCACTGTCAAGTATTCCTGTCGTCTGTTACAGGAAACTGTTCAAAGTGTTAAACACAAGTAGCTTATGTGACAATATCTGAGAAATCCTGCAGGTCCATTATCTTTGGGATTACCGGCCTCCGTTTCGGTTTCCATTGCGACACGACGCTGTGACAACTCGGTGCAAAGCTGCCGTCACGAAGCCACCCGGTGGTAACCACGGCGAGAGGTCGATCAGGCGACCACTCGATCGATCGTCGGCCGTCGCACTCTCTCGTAGAAGAGCATGTACGCGTTGGAAGACAGCACCTCCTGCAGGCTGGCTTTCCGCACGGAGTCGTCAGACACCCAGAGCCACTGACAGCTGAAGGGTGAGGCGCTGCAGGCCGAGGGAGGGCTGCGGCGGTAGGTGACAAAATGTCCTGAGTGCATGTCACCATGGTGAACCAACACCGCTGTTAGCTGGAATAAATACTCTGCGGAGCTGGAAGGAGACACAGAGATCCGGGCGTCAGCTCGGTGAAACCCCCTGCATGTCCGACCTGTGCATCCTTACATCGCTCAGGTGTAATGAAGTTTTCGCTGTAGAGTTTGCATTATAAGCACAAAAACTAATAAATAGCACTTAAGTGATAAAAACTGTCCTGCTTTCTAAAAGTTATATTAATTTTATCCATTTGTCATTTTAAGCTTTTGAAGTTTTAATCTTTTCATGCTCAGATTTTCTTTGAGAACAAAAAAAAAAAGTCTCCCATGGGACATTTTACACCAGCCACAGATTTTGACTAATCATAATTTTGAAAGATTCTCTCCAACATGCTGACAATCATATTTTAATGAGACTAGGTGAGTGAAATAACTATTATCTTCCAGCAGGAGACTTCTAAGATTTGTTTTAGTTTGGCTCTGTCAATTGGCCCAACCGGCTATCAGAACCACCATCAGTCTAATCATTTCTAATGTATTGTGTATGTTGACCGGCCTGTTTTAAGCCTCTGCGAAACACTTGTTGCATTTTTTTTTATCTCTCTGAAAAGATACAAGGTTTGTTTAAAGGCACCACTCTTTGATAGGTGGCCATGTCATAAAGCGCTGATGATGAACGGCTGCTGCTGAGTTTACCTGAAGTCATACGAGAGACCGAGCTGTGGGCTCAAACCAGGAGAGAGAAGAAATACAGAAGAACAGGTTCCATTAGAGAAAGGCTTGTTGTTGTTATGATGTTCTGCACCTGGAACAAAAAAAAAAATGGGGAAAGAAAATTGAAGCAAAAAAAAAGCAAAGAAAGAGAGAACGATGCTGTTAAAAATAAAAATGCCTATTAATCCAACACACCTGTCCCATTGGCTTTTAACCTTTCTGTGGAATCCTCCAAACTTTCTGTCTTTATGGCTTTAGGAGCCGATGTGAACCGCTGACTCCTCTGTGTGGAGCTGTTGTGTTTGTAGCGATCCATCGACAGATACTCCGTGAACTGGACGTGCTCCTGACGCTTGATGGGCGTTCCTTCACTGGACCACGTCAGTCTTTGTAGGTGGATGCAGAGGCACTGAGGGAGCTTAAAATACATGAAACAAGGGTTGCATTTCTTTCCTCTCTATGAATAAAAATGTGAAACACGCATTCATTGTGTACCAGCAACTAAAATCTCTTAACGGTTTAGGGAGAAAACCGATAAAAAAAAAAAAAAATAAAAACCTTTCCAAGTTTCAGCTGTTTAACAAACGTCGTCCTCTGGCTTTCAAAAACTTGCCCGTTTCTTGTCGAGCTTTGTTGAAGCTGAAGGACGACATAAAGACGGTAAAGATCAACCGAACCATGTCTGTTCACAAACAATGGAATTATTTTACAGAAACTAAAGTACCTTTGTGCAGTTTTCACACTCCACCTCTTTGATTGTCTCTGACGAAATGAAATGCTGCAGACACTGATCTAGAGAGAGAGGCCGACCCTGAGAGGAAAGACGGTTTAAGTGAACAGAAACAAAAACCAGCTGCTGATGAGCGACACACTGTATTTACAGAGCTGAAACCTTTCCACGTTACAACTTATTAGACTTATATGAGGTAGGCAAACAGAAACTAGTGCATAATTGTGGAGAGGAATGAAAGCAGTAGATGGTTTTCAAAAGTTGATTACAAATTAAGCTCTGAAAAATGCAGTGTGGATTTGTATTCCTAGAACCTAGACATTTAGCTCAGGTAAATGTAACAGGATTCCTTCCAGGATTGCCCTATATTTAGCTGTAGCCATCTTCCCATCAACTCTGACTAGCTTTACTTTTCCTTGCTGAAGCATCCCCACAGCATGGTGCTGCCACCTCCATGTTTCACCATATAGAAGGTGTGCTCCGGGTGAATCCAGTGTTTGCTGTATCCCTGCATGGATTTTAGCAAACAAAATGTCTTATATTCATCTTTCAACAATGGCTTTCTTCTTGCCACTGCTCTATAGGGCTTAGATCTGTAAAGTGCACCATAGATAATTTGTCCTGTTTTCAAATTCTCCTACCCGAGTTGTGAATCTCTGCAGCTCCTCCAAAGTTACTAATGCCACACTCTTTAGATATTAATCTGTAAAGACTTTTGAAAACCAAGAATCCATTTTTTTCCACTTCACAATAATGCGCTAACCAATCATGTAAAGTGCTACATTAATAATCCTGCCTTTTCAGCTTACCCACTGAGGAAGAGGGATGGACAAAGAGAGGCTCTCAAATGAGTCGTACCGTACTGGACTCTGTTAATGAACAAAGTTGAGTTGTTATTCACAAATTCATCAAAACCAGCATGTTACTTAATTCTATATCTCAAAGAAACACACTTGGATTTCACAGTGCTTGCACGACATATTGCTCGTTAGACGACCGTGAAAAGGATGCTGGAACTTCCAGAGACCCGGCATCGGATGAAGAGGAGCTGCAGAGAAAATTAACTAAATATAACACACTCATTTGCTGGTATTCTTAATTTGGCCTCTTGATTTTTATTTTTTATTCATACCTCGACTAATGCAGGCCATAGTTTTGTCCTCTTCATCAGGAAGAGGCTAGAAACAAAGCAAACACAAAGTAGGAGAACATTTAACTAAAAAAAACAAAGATTTGTGTGACTTCTGCAGTTTGGGATCCCCGGTGCATGTGGAGACAACTTACCTCCAGGGACTGCATGTCAAACAAATGTGTGACTTTGGGTTGGCGATTTCGCTCCTCCTCTAGAGAAGACGTGAGGACGTGAAAAAGTTCATGTGCATCCTTAAAAGGGAAGAAATCAGATTTTTAGATGTTGCAAAATAAGTTAAAGCTCCATTCAGAAGTTTACAATTGCATCTCATCAGCATGGATGCCAGGTTGAGTTTGGGCTTTTAATTATGCATTTTAAGCACTTATTTTAAAAACTGCAAATGGACCACATGTTATTTTTGTAGCTTTCAACAAGCTTCCAGCACAATTCTTCTTGAATATTTGACAACTTTTTAAAATGAGAATTAACAGAATGCCTTTAGGTCAGTTTGTTTTATTGCATATA